CTATCTCTTTTGTTCCTAATAAAAGGATTCAAGGAGAGAGACAGAGCACAGATGTTTACACTTTAATGTGAAAAGTGTCTTGATTGAGCACCAAGAGTGACTGATAATTGGGAGATAAAGCTACTTTTCCTTCCCTCATTTAAAAATGAGTGAAGTCCAAGGGGCTATCAAAATGCAACTAAGTTCTACCAACAAAAAATCAACCCTAAGGAGACAATGGGTATGTCTACATGCTATGTCACTGTAGTGATGTCTTGTGCTGGCTTGGTACTGCAGTACTGCCATGCCCAGTTTTTGTTCCTTCCTGGAGAAGTAACTGCTGACTTTTTTTTTAAAGGGACACACACACACGGTTCCCATCAGCATGCTTGCCCGGTATGGACCATGGTTTTTATAGTCATGCTCAGTGTTGACTGCATTTAATCTACTTCATAGTTGCTTTCCATTGCTGAGCACATGATGCTTTTGGCAGCAGTTTAACAAAAGACAGTTTATTTAGTGAGATTTCCTTGTATGTCATTATAACATGAGGGTTTTTTTTCCCTTTGCCAATTGGAGGAAAATCTCATCTTTTATTTGACGAAATCTGGTATATTTACTACGTGGGAGATTATTTCCCACATACCAGCAAACAGGGCAAGCAGTTTGCAGGCAGTTTGCCGTTCAGTTCAGAGGTCAGTTTGCTGTCTCCCCTTTGAAGAGAAAGCCTTTCAGCTTTGTGTGAAGAAGCAGGGAAAAAGGAACCCTTTGAGGCCAAGGAACAGAAAACAGGCCAGCTTCCAGGCAAGCTTACTAGGGAAGGTGTGCTTGGAAGAAGGGCAGTAAGAGAGAAGAGGCAGGGAAATGGCTGGAGGACATCACAATGCCAGAGCCACTGCCACTGCCTCTGCTTGCAACTGTGAGGTTTCTGTCCAAGCAGGACTGCTCACCATCAAGGCTCCCACCCAGGTCCATGTTTGGCACTGTGAGGACCATGGCTTGCAGGTTTCTTCCAGTGACAGTGAGGTGGGGGAGTGCCTAAGGTGTGAGCAGTGACTCCTGCTAATTTCCCTCAGGGAGCAGGCAGGAGACCTACAGGAGGAGGTGGTGAGGCTCTGAAGCATCCTCTGCTAGGAGGAGCTAATTGATTCAATGCTGGTGCAGTGTCCTGGGACTGTGGAGAAAGAACTGCCAGATGCAGTGCTAAAGAAGGGTGAGGACAGACTCCCAAAAAGGTGGAAGCTGGAAGCTTGTGACCTCTGTCAGCAAGCAGAAATCTTCATCGCCACCTGCAGCAGTTAATCTGGAGAACGGATATGGAGCCCTACCAATAGAGGGTAAGGAGCATGTTCCATTGGTGGAGATCAGACTAGGCCTTGCCAAGGTAGGAAGGACCAAGACCACCACCACCAGGAAGAAGCAATGGGTGGCGATGGTTGGAGACTCCCATCTTTGGGGGACAGAGGGAACCAACTGCTGACCTGACCAGTTGTCTCAGAAAATCTGCTGCTTGCCTGTAGTCAAGATCCAAGATGTCACGGAAGTATTACCGAGACTCATCTGGCCCTCTGACTACTACCCCATGCTGCTCATCCATGTGGGCACCAATGATACTGCTGCAGGAGACCCTGAGCAGTTCAAAAGTGACTACAGGGTGCAAGGGTGAAGGGGACTGGGACTCAGGTGGTATTCTCCTAGATCCTTCTGGTCAAGGGAAGGGCAGGAGTGGGTGCATGCTACAAATCAATACCTGGCTGTGCAGGTGGTGGCGACAGCAGGGCTTTGGCTTCTTTGACCACAGGATGATGTGCTAAGAAGAGATGGGATCCACCTGACAAAGAAAAGGAAGGGCGTCATCTCAGACAGGCTCACTAACCTAGCGAGGCGAGCTTTAAACTATGTTTGCTGGGGGATGGAGACCAAAGCTCTGAGGTAGGTGGGGAAGTCAGTGACCTGGAGGAAGGCCAAGCATGAGGGGGCAAAAGAGGAGGTTTTCTTCTTGAGAAATCAGGGCAGTCAACTAGTTACCTTAGGTGCCTGTACATGAATGCACAGATCCTGGGAAATGAACAGGAAGAACTGTAAGTCCTTGCACAGTCACAGGACTTTGATGTGATTGGAATAACAGTGACTTGGTGGGATAGCTTGTGTGACTGGAGCACTGTCATGGATGGGTATCAACTGTTCAAGAAAGGCAGACAGGGGAGAAGAGGAGGAGGAGTTGCACTTTGTGTAAAAGAGCCATATGATTGCTCAGAGCTCCAGTATGAAACTAGAGATAGACCTGTTGAAAATCTCTGGGTTAGGGTCAGAAGAGGGAGCAACAGGTGTGATGTCATGGTGGGGGTATGCTATAGACCACCAGACCGGAAAGTGGTGGATGAGGCTTTTCTTCAAAAAGGTAGCAGACGTTTCCCCGTCATAGGCCCTGATTTTCTTGGGGGACTTCAATCACCCTGACATCTGCTGGGAGGGCAATACAGCAGTGCACAGGCAATGCAGAAAGCTTCTGGAGAGTGTTGGGAACAACTTCCTGGTGCAAGTGCTGGAGCAGGCAACTAGGGGCCATGCTCTTTTTAACCTGCTCCTCAGAAACAGGGAAGGATTGGTGGGGAATGTAGTAGTAGAAGGCAACTTGGGCAGCAGTGGCCACAAGATGACTGAGTTCAGGATTCTGAGGAAAATAAGGAAGGAGAGCAGCAGAGTAAAGACCCTGGAATTCAGAAAAGCAGACTTCGACTTACTTGGGGAACTCAAGGGCACGATCCCCTGGGAAGCCAGACTGAGGGGGAGAAGAGTCCAGGAGAGCTGGATGTACTTCAGAGAATCCTTACTGAGTGTGCAGGAACAAACTATCACAATGTGAAGGAAGACTAGCAAGTATGACAGAAGACCAGCTTGGCTTAGCAGGGAATTCTTCAGTAAACTAAGTCACAAAAAGGAAGCTTACAAGAAGTGGAAACTTAGACAAATAAATAGGGAGGATTTAAGAGCATTGCTCAGGCATCCAGGGATGAAGTCAAGAAGGCCAAACCACAATTGGAGTTGCAGCTATCAAAGGACTTGAAGGGCAACAAGAAAGGTTTCTACAAATATGCCACTAACAACAGGAGGATTGGCAAAAGTGTGGCTCGCTTACTGAATTGGGGAGGCAACCTAGTGACAGAAGATGAAGAAAAGGATGAAGTACTCATTGCCTTTTTCACCTTTGTGTTCAAAGGCAAGGTCAGCTCCCAAACTACTGCACCTGGCAGCACAGTTTAGGGAAGAAGTGAGCAGCCAACAGTGGTGAAAGAACAGGATAGGGACTGTTTAGAAAAACTGGACATATACAAGTCCATGGGGCCAGAAGGGATGACCTCAAGGGTCCTGGGGGAGATGGCTGCTGTGATTGCAGAGCCACTGGCCATCATCATCTTTGAAAACTCATGGCAATCAGGAAAGGTCCCGGATGATTGGAAAGGGGCAAACATAGGGCCCGTATTTAAGAAAAGGAAAAAGGAGGATCCAGGGAACTTCAGACCAGTCAGCCTCACCTTAGTTCCTGGAAAAGGGGCTAAGGTCTAGTTGGCAGCTGGTATCAAGTGGAGTGCCACAGAGATAGGTCCTGGGGCTAGTTTTGTTCAATATCTTCATCAACAACCTAGAAGATGGCATAGAGTTCACCCTCAGCAAGTTTGCAGGTGACACCAAACTGGGGGGAGTAGCAGATATGTTGGAGGGCAGGGCTAGGATTCAGAGAGACCTAGACAATTTGGAGGATTGGGCCAAAAGGAGTCTCATGGGGTTCAACAAGTACAAGTGCAAAGTCTGGCACTTAGGACGGAAGAATCTCATGTACTGGTACAGGCTGGGGGCTGACTGTCTGGGCAACAGTTCTGCAGAAAAGGACCTAGCAGTTACAGTCAACAATAAGCTGAATATGAGCCACAGTGTGCCCTTGTTGCCAAGTAGGCAAATGGCACGCTGGCCTGCATTGGTGAGAGTGTTGCCAGCAGGTCAAGGGAAGTGATTTTTTTCCCTTCTATTCAGCAATGGTGAGGAGACATCTGGAGTACACGCCCCAGCCCAGCAGGTCAGTCCATGGGGGAGGGAAGGGATGGGGGCTAGATCAAGGCCCCTGCAATGAGGGACAGTGCCACAGAGGCAGGAGCCAGGGTAAGTTGAATGGGGTCCGGGTCAGGTGGGATTTACCTGCTGGGGAGGTGTGCACCCAAATAATTTTTGTCCCTCTGCCTTGATCTGCCCCTCGTTCCCTCCCCTGCTGGGTTGGGGGTGGGGGGAGGGGATGGTGGAGGCACATGGAAGATCTTGGGTTGCTTTTAAATACCAAAAGTGATCTCCTACTTAAAAAGGTTGGAGACCACTGGTCTAGAGAAAAGAAGGCTGAGAGATTTAATGGCCTTCAATTACCTGAAGGGAGGTTTGAAAGAGGATGGAGCCAGACTGTTCTCAGTGGTGGCAAATGACAAAACAAGGAGCAATGGTCTCAAGTTGCAGCAAGGGAAGTTTTGGTTAGATATGAGGAACAATTTTGTCACTAGGAAGGTAGTAAAATACTGGAACAGGTTACTCAGAGAGGTGGTGGAAGCTCCATCCTTGGCGGTTTTCAAGATCTGGCTAGACAAAGCTTTGGCTGGGATGATCTTGTTCGGGATGGTCCTGTGAGCAGGGGGTTGGACTAAATTACCTCCTGAGTTCCCTTCCAACCCTAATTTTCTATGATTCTATCTCAAGTTGCCCAGTGAAGCCCAGAGAGAGCATATTTTGATTCTCCATTGATTTGTATATTTTCTATGGAAACTTATACACTTATGTAAAATGTCTTAAACAGACCCAAATAGATTTAGTAGCCTTTAAACAGGTTGCAGTAACTACTCAAAGTGCAGTGTGGTGGAGCTCAAAACTACTTTTGCTGAATGGTTAGCTGTCAAAAGACCTAGGCTTGTTTCAGTAAATCACCAAATTAATTCAATCTCAACCCTTCCAAACATAACAATTTTAATAATTTTGTTTTACAGATACAAGTACGTTTTTAATATATAATGAGGATCACAAGCGTTGTGTATTAGCTCAAAGTTCTAGCTCAGTGATAACCGCCCCTTGCAATCAGGAGAATGAGTCCCAAAAATTCAGGTGGGTTTCTGATTACCATCTTATGAGCATGACATTGAAATTATGCTTGGGCGTACCTTCAAAGAAAGACTGGGTTCGAATCACTCTGTATCCTTGTGACAAGACAAGTAAACTTCAGAAATGGGAATGCAGAAATGAGACCCTTTTCGCAATCCAAGGAGAAGATTTATTTTTCAACTATGGCAACAAACAGGAAAAGAATATTATGCTTTACAAGGGATCAGGTCTGTGGAGTAGGTGGAAGATTTATGGAACCACAGATGATTTGTGTTCTCGGGGCTATGAAGGTAAAGTTCTTCACATATTCATTTATTTTTATTTTGAACTAATTGCTTTGTGTACTTGAAGCATTTTGATACCTGGGAATGTCCTTAAACTTGTAGAAATCCAATGGGCAGAAGTCAGCAGG